CGACAAAACATCAGACTACGCCTCGGTTCATCTGTGTTCAACGAAAGCATTTCGTTGACTCGATTTTCAAGATGCACCAGGACGCAGTCCGGCTGAACGCTGGCACTTTGAGTTCAAGGCGGAGAGTCCAGTGTTCGGGAGATCGTCCAAGTGGGTTGATGTAATTGAGTCAGTTACGCTTGAGACATTCATTGCATGCCATGCCCCTTTTCCATGTTATGCCGAATGAATGGATTTGCCGTGAGGATTGAAGTCTCAGCCACACAGTATAACGTCAAATTGTCTCCCAATAGCTTGGAAAGCCTCCGGCGACAATTGCCATTAAACTTCACGCTATTTCGAAGAATTTACCGGCATTACGCTGTATGTTTCCACGATTATTGACCCAGTCGTAGCCAAGATCGCCTACAATGCACGGTGCCGTACGCGTTCCTCCCACCAATACCGTTTCAGCGATACGGCGCTTTGGCACAAGAGTGAGGCTTTCTACAAACAACTTGCGCATCGTCTCTCTGCATAGACCACTCGGGGTAGGCGCCAAGAGTCAACCCTCGTGGTTTCGTTGTATTTAGCCATCACCCTACCCGGGACTCAACCAGCTAGGCCTTGAATTGTTTGGTCCGTTTGGCAATTGTCCACTCACAATCCACTCGATTTGACATCGAACTTCTGGTAGCTGCTCCTAGCAAGAACCCACTCACTCCAATCATCATCATGAAGTTCACATCGACTCTTCTTATTCTTGCTAGCGCAGGCGCTGTAGTAGCCGTAAGTTGTGATTCCAGTCTGCTCAACCAAAACTGCCTGACTAACTCTTGTTCAAGTCGCTCCCCAATGCGGGGATGCCACTCGTTGAACGCGATGAAATTGTGGGCAAGAAGGGACTGGAGGCAACCAAGACAAACCCTCGAGTGAAGAGAGCAGACGGAACTTTCAATCTGGTTCCACGACAGACACAAACGAAGCAAGCCAGAATGGACTCGGATGATGATGATGCAGGCCCCTTCAAGGAGAAACGCGCCGAAGAAGCAGTCCAAGAGAAGCGTGACGAGCTGACGCCGACGAAAACGAACCCTCGGGTGAAGAGAGCCGATGGCACTTTCAACCTCGCTCCAAGGCAGTCTATCACAGGGAAAGCCAAGGCATAGACGTGTGGCTGGGTTGTTTTGTGGGGATATAGCTCACGTAGGCAGTTTGGGAGGCAGAGGTAATACAAGCATCAAATTCTGTACGAAGTGAAAAGCATGGGTCAGGCAAGAGACAATCTTTCTCGCGGGGTAGTAATACATGGATAAGTGACGAGGCGCGAAGCGCCGTTCGGCATGGCGTTCTTCCACTTCGCATGATCGAAGGCTGGAAAGTTCGTCAGGTTCATACTTTGGAAACCCACAAGAAGCCTCCACTACGCTATTCTCACGCCAGTAGGCACCTCCGAAGCACCACGGCAAGGCTATGCAGTACCTGGCAGAGTCTACAGTAGCTCGCGGGCATAAAAGGACCTAGAACGGACGCCGCGGCGTGAAGAGCTACGCAAACTTCGGTATCTCGGTAACGTCAATGACCCAGAACTGCGAGAGCGAGGCATTTTCGAGCTTAGGTTAAATGAGATGTAGTACTGATAATGCGGGTAAGCGCGCAAGCTTTGTCGTGTTGCGTGTCACGGCATTGATGGCATGGCGTGACCCATCACAAGCCGCTTGACTGTCAATAGTTCGTACGACGCTGTGACGAGGATGAGTCTTCAGTAGACAGCCTTCCAGAAGCATTCTGGGGAAGTCAGTTCATCTGCATAACACAGTCGGGACGAGAATAGTCTGGGTTCCCTGTCTTGAAACGGATCAATCAGAGACCATGTTCCTAGCAGAACGCACGAGCCAAGAACGCCGAGCATTTCGCAAGTTTGTGCGTGTACTTTGCCCCGGAAGACCCGGCCTGACTCGCAGCAGCCTTAAATGTGGGTGTTTGAGTCTGGCGAATGATATTAGTGATGGGTAAGTCCGTTTCGGTGTAGTAAATCTGCCTCGTAAGGCTGGGGAGGGTTGGTTGAACGCCACCAATTATTTGATGATGATGTAGCGACCCTTCCGCGCGGCTATGTGTATTGTGGGTGACACAAGCGGTTCGATTTCTTGATACTGGAATGAGAGAAGGATGTTCAGAACACGGGGTCAAGAAGATATTTTCCAGCGAATTCCAGTCTCTCCGAGCGGCCTCCGATGGGCTACATCGAAACGGCCCCCAAATGGGGGCTGAGAAGCTAATCTGGTGGCTGCGATATTTGGCTGTGTGTGCCAGGCACTGTGCAAGAAAGACGTGAGGGGGTTCAGGGAAGCAGATCCTACAGCCTTGCGGGAATTCTCGCGGTCAGCTGGTCGGGAGCCCTCCGGCCACCTATTTCTCGGAGATCCGGGGGTGAGATAATCAGGTCGTGTGAGGAGGCATGATGCATCGCAACATCGATACAGATCCTGTTGATTCAGCTCAGGTGGAAGTGGAAGTAGTCGACCTCCGGATACGCAATTTTTACCGCGTCTATCGCTAGGCAACTGGTGGCGAGTTTAATATGACTGTAATGACTGGATTCAAAGAAGCGAGCCGGCGAAGGATCGGAGGTAGTCCTTGAGAGTGCCTGGATGCGTTGACGCGTCTGGTGTGGTGGGTGTCTTGAGGTGACGCGGGCCACGAGCCAATGAGTGATGAGCCTGCCATGTACGAGAAGCTGGTTGTGGACAAGTCCTATGAGCCTAGAACCTCGACCAATTCGTTTTGTAACAGGCTGTCAAGACCCAGCAGAGATGGCTACAAACAGGTGGGAATCTGAGCTCTGTCAAGATGACGGCCGTCCAGGCAGACGTTTAAGGTACTGAGATACGTACCTTCGGTAAGTCTAGGGTGAGCCGCATCGGGTGACCTCGAGCCCGTATTAGTCATCAAGGGAATCTGGGGAGTTTTGTTCTTACCTAAGGCAGAATGCGACTGGTGCCTGCTGGCGGCGGTTGGATTCGGAAGGTGAAAACTGGAAGGGAGCGGTGTGGACATGATGAGGTACGTATCGTTGTCTCCAAGAGTTTGTGCGACGGCCCGGGGAAAAAACAGGTGGTCGGAGCTTTCACCTCCCAGCAGCTTCCATCCAATTCCTCTCCCCCTCAATGTCAACTCCAACTCCAATTGCTGCTGCCACGATGTAATGCGCTGCACTGCGACACGATTCGATGCGATGGAATCGATTGAGCCTCTCGGAGCACTTGCAGACCTTGCAGAGAAACGCACCCCGCTCCCCTCGTCATTGTTTGAAGTGATGAAATGTCAAGCTTCTTTTGCTATCCACCTTCACGAAACAAGGCCTGGCTGCATCGGTTGGTCCGACTGAGAAGCAGGCTGTGGTGGCTGTGTGCACCTTGAACAAATCTGGTGCCGTTAGTGACCAGCACAGCCGTCTCACTCGCATACTAACACTGCCAAACCATGCCAGCATGCTTCTTTCCGCAGCCAAGATTCCGACTGAACTGGCGGGACGAACATGACGCTTTCCTGGTACTGGACCGGTGCGCGCCACGGGACGAGCATCGTCACCAACCTTGTCAAGCCCTCAGTGGCTCCCCTTGCAGCCTACGATCCTTCGACGGCGACAACGAAAGCTATCGTTGATAGTTCCCGCGAGGTGGAGTTTATCGAATTGGCCCGCAGCCACTTGGCCAGATTCCAGAGTCCGATGATCGACTGCTTCAATTGTGGCCTCATGCACACCAGCCCATCTGCAAGTCAACTAAGTGGACCTGGTCCTACCGGCCACTCAGAGAAATCGCATTGTAGCGTCGCGCAAGAAGACGAACAAAGAGCTTGCATGAAAACCTTGCGAGGCCGAAGTGACTCAGGTGTCATTCGCCAAGTTTAATTGGGATGATTGGCTAATGCATCACCGATTCTGAACAGAGTGAACAAAGAAGATCGTTGCGACTCGAGCACCACGGCGGCTGTCGCTTATTCGGAAACGATGTTGATTTCTCGATAATCAACATCTTCAGGTCGGGCCTGGCCAACACGGGCCAAATCTGCAGTCGAAATGTTTCGATTGCCGCTGTCCATGTCACCCTGGCTTTCCCCAACGGCGCGCGCAAGGTGCCTCTCCCCGCGTCGAATAGATGAAGAACCGGGGGAAAACACTTTGGCACTTAAGTGGTGGCATGAGGGATGGTACCGAGTTGGGAGCCAAAATAGCATCATATCGCCCAGATTATTGTTTCGCGGCTTTCCCACTCAAAAGTCCGGATTCGTCATCTTCTACACGAGGCTGCGACATCGCCAGACCTCCACGGTGACCATCCACAACCTCTACCCAGATGAAAAAAAAATAGAGACGCTGACCACCAGCCAGTCGGTTCCCTCTCCATCCTACGGTGAGCCAGATACCACTACATGGAATCAACATCGCGGCGCAATTTACACGAGCCGCATCCACAGCACTCAACCACACCCTCATGCGCAAGGCCGCATAGCTGGGAATTGAGGACTACTCTCAGACACATCAGAAGAACACAAGAAAGCGCCACTTGTGCGCCCTCAAGCCTGTCACGACTGTCGAACTTCCTTGGCTCCCTCCAGCGCCCTCATTTTGACGGCTTATGGTGGCCCACCCTGGCAACGTCCCAAAAGTCACCTCCCGTGCACCGCCTCTAGTACCAGTAGGCCTCCCCCAAAAGAGGCTGTGCGATATTTCCAGAGGTATTTTCCCAGCGGAGGAATGCGGGCAAGAGACAGAAGGGAAACTTGAGCTCTTTCGGAAACGTTCAGCGAGGGGAACCATCCTAGGCCGAGGACTCCAACGACCCTCCCCTCCCAAGAAAGAGAAACACCCCTGCGAGCACCGAGCACGAAAGAGGCCTAGCGGCCAAGAGCAAAGACTCATCGGCCTCTAGCGATGCGTGTGAAGGCAGCAGTCTGACAGGGGAGGGGGCATGGGCCAGGCGCAATCCACCCTCACAAGGCCTCAAATCTCCACAATGCCACGGCCTGCAGCACCTTTGGCTCACGATACTTGGGTCCTCCGCCGTCTTTTGCGGCTGACGCTGGGTACTAGCGACTTGCTGCCCCTGGTCTGCCATGCCACCACCATTAGAACGCGCTTCTTCGTCTCAGACGATATAATTCAGACGCGGAATCTCTTCGAGACAACTTGTTCCCACGCTGCTCAACATCTCCACTTGGACTATTTACACTTTGCCAAACGCTTCCCGCACTTAGACAACAGGCGCTACCCCAATCTATCATACCTAGTCGATCCATTCTCTATACTTAGGCAGAACCTTTTTGAGAATCTTCAACACCTGACTTCTTGAATCCTTCCTAAGCTGGTATATAGTCTCTCATCCTCGCTTGCATCTTCTCCTGAAAGATCACCAACTCACACCACCAACAGTCAGACACAACACAATTTCGATTCACTACAAGCTCCAACATACCACTTCAACTTCACCCCAACAACACCGACACGTTGTCTTCCTATCACCACCCCGAAGCTCACTATATCGACAACACCATTGTCTATAAGTACAGGTCTCGTCGTCCAGCCAACTCCAATCGAGAATATCAACGCCCACCAACACTCTCGAGGACTCTTTCCTCTACCCAATCGACCACACCCGCGAGACGAGTTCCATTCGTTACGCAGGTAGTTCAACCCTCACCACCAACCCCGCGCACGCTGCGCCCTCATACGTTTACACAAGACACAATGTGCACCACCGACGTTTACACCTACGTCTACCCCGACGGCCGGAGGGCTGAGGAACAGCAACCCACCTTTTGCTCTGCTTCCCGCAACGGCCGCCTTTGCGCCAACCCTGTCATCTACAACCACCCGCCGCGTCAAGTCGGCTACCCCTCACCAGTGCCCATGTATGCTCCTGTCGGACCAGCATACCCATTTCCTCAGCAAATGCCGCCCTCTCCTCCCATGAGCTCACCACGCGGAACTTCCTCGGGCAATGAAGGAGGCCGCGCTCGTCGCGAATCTTCTTCGAGCGAGAGAAAGCACCGCCAATCCGGAGTATACGTGAACGGCCAAAGGATATTGGACCTCAACCGCAAGCACCGGTCACGTAACGAGCGCATCGTGATTGTCGACTCTCCACCCACCCCGCGCACACCACCAAAGCAATTCGCTTCACCTTACACCGCGCCGCCTTCACCCATTGCAGGCGGCGAGAACCCTCAGTTCCGCTACAGCCACGTCCGCCGCGACTCTCTTCGCCCTGTCATCGTCGATGAGCGCCCGCGGTCCAAGGTCGAGATTGAGGTTATCGACAACAAGCACCGCCGCCACCACTCTTCTGAATCGCGCCACAGCTACCACAGCGCCGACGAGGAGGAGCGCCGCCGCCGTCACCGAGATCACAAGGAGCGTGAAGAGCGCAAACGCCAGGAGGAGGATCGCCAAGTTAAGAAGCAACTACGCATCGCTGAGCAAAACGCCAAAATTGCCAGCCGCACCGCCGTACCCGTTCCTCCCGCTCCTTTGAACCGCACCTCTACTGGCTACGGTTCCAGATACCAAGAGGACTTGTTGGCAGATGCTCTTCGCCGTATGGAAGTTGTCGACCATCTCACGGCAAGAGCTGAGGATGAGGAAGAAGCCCAGCGCCGCCGACTCATGGAGCGGATGACACCCCACCGCCGGGCTACCGTGGGGCCGGGTACACGGAGGCACCGCGTTCTCTACGACGATGGTCTCTGGCGATGGGAGTAAACGACTGCTAGGATGAATGGATTTCCTGCTTCATGTTGTTTGTTTATCCATTATCGATATGCGAGCTCTGCGCTTGATCGTTTTCTTGGAATTGTATAGATAGCCAGCGTTTCTTGATTTACATGCATGTACATATACCACGGGGGGAGGGATCGCCGGGAGAGCGATGGGAAGATACCACCACAACAGAGGACATGGGGACAACCATTAGATAGTCATTGAATCAGTAAAACACAGTTATGATTCATATCTCTGCTCCTTTCTTACCGGCTATGATCTTCTTTTGGTGATGCAGTATCTTTGCGGTACATTTTCTCGTGATGGACAATCGCCGTCGCGGCCTTGTGATCGCATGCGCCTGCATGTCTCACTCCTGCCCTGGTCCCTCCTCGGATCTTGGAGGACTCGGCAACATCGAGTAGGCGACACTGCCGTGTTTTGCTTTCCTCCCATCCCACCCTTTTCGGAGAGAGATTACGAGACGAGACATCTGCAAGCTACCCTTATCCGTGGCGTTTTCCTGTTCGTTCACCTCGAAACATTGTTGTTGGAGACATGCATGGATGATGAGAAGAGGTGGATGGGTGTCTGTGGCGGGAGGTTGCGATGGCCTGAGTCAAGACACCCACCCACTTACACGCGGAAGGGACTGATAGATCGCTAGTGGGCTCTGCATTTACAATGGATTCCCCAAATCTGAGGTGGACATCTTTTGGTTGCATGATGCTTGCCGCGCAATGCGAATATGCGCATTGCCAGTACGGAACTCTGGAAATTGGGGTGTCACCGCAAGGACTCTTCTTTTCCTTCTCACAGCGGGGTGGGACGTTGCGCAAATCTTCGCACCGCGGGGTCATTTCTGCCTGGACCGAGAGGGCGCGATTGCAGTCACGACTCCTTTACAGCTTCTCAAGCAGATGTACAACATCGCCAAGACCAACGGATCCCTTGCGGAAGAAGAATGACAGGAAGACCCTACGGATTACGGTCGCGCTTGCGGGGACTAGAACAGGCAACGCCAGGCAGTCCCGCCCAGTCGGCACGGGCTTTCGGGGGGGTAAGAAGCAGTTCACGGGTCATCCCTGTTGGCTGGGGGGGTTCTTGGAGACGGCGGGACGGGTCGCTGGGGTGTTTTGGTGTGGGAACGAGTCACCGAGTGACATTTGCACACCTTGTCACCGAAGGCGCCGATGTCGGTGTATTTCGGTCAAGTGTCTGCCGGCGGGGTAATGGCCGATGGCGGGGTTAATCATGTGTTTACGCTTGTTTATGACCAGATCCTTGCTCTTTGTCTCTTGCTTCGCTTTCTATGCTTCTATGAAATATGAACTTGTCTATGATGAGCGGAATCTCGCGAAACCCGTCACAAAGTTGAAAAAGTTGCACTTTCGGAGACTGAGGCCATTTCGCCTCCCTGCCAATTACCCCACCTACGTACTCCGTGCCACCATCTCTGTTCCTACGGGCTTGGTAGGGGAGTGGGGTCATTCGCCTGTCCACCAACCAGAGACTAAAGACTGGTTTTTGACTTGTGTCCTTCGTTCCGTTCCCGTGGGGAGTCATTGCGGCGTGGGAAAGGCGAAGCTTCCGAGCCAAGTGGTGACACATTCTGGCGGTGAAGAAAGGGTTTTGTGGTGGTGTGCTCGGTGTTGATCGCCTGGTCTTTGAGGATTTGGTACATGATGCAGGGTACCTATTTTCTGTGACTTTTTTGGGACGTATTTTTCGATTTGGATGCACGGAGTAGAGTGAGCCCGAATAGGGAATGCGCATTTTCTTACACCGAATACGGAGCTGCCTTTCTAGGTACTGCGGTCTTAGGATCATCATGACCAGACCACCAACTATCTGATATATAGCGATTGAATGTTGTCCTCCGGTACTTACTGGGACCTTAAAGACCGGGAATACTATATTAAACAGCGGAACTCAATATAAAGTCATCCTAGGTCATTGAAAAGATACACTACCCAGGACTCACAACAGAGTTCCCTCTGGGCGGAGACTGAATGACGACTAGGTGCAACATGCAGCATCAGAGATACTAAAGCTAGCATGTATAATCAGGACAGATAGTGATCCGAACGGCCACTTACTGAATCTACTAGAGTTACGATTCATCTACAACAATGGAGCGCCTCGATGCTACAGTTCTAACCCCGATTCAAGAGTACCAGTCTCCCTCATCATCGTCAATCGACTCCCCCATGTCAGACTTGTGCAGCAACTCCTGAACCGTCCATAGCTTGAAGGGAAACCCGGGCACTGTGTTGGTATTCTTGAACTCCTTCCCATGGAGTAGATGCGCTGCGCAAGCTTCGTAGTTGTCGTACGCATATTGTTCGGGATCATGCTTCAACAGCCACGATCCTGTAAACTTCGCGATGCTGCGGGGGTTCTTCGCAGCTTCATCCCAGTTGGTGTGATGGAAGACCTCTCTGGACTTGAAACCAATCTTCTGGGCGCAAGCGGTTCTCTCGAAACTAGATACAGCCGTCTCATAATCAGTAAAATGACCACATATACCAAGGTTATTGATGTATGGCGTGAGGAAGAAGACAGCTTACCGGAGTTTGTTATGCACCTTGGTTGCCAAAGCAGCAGACACCTTGCCGCCCATCTTGAGACAAGCAGCAAGAGAAAAGGCATCTTCCAGAGCAGTAGTAGCGCCGAACCCAGAAGAAGGCAGGAACGAGTGCGCCGAGTCGCCGCATTGCACCACTCGCCCTCCGTCCGACACCCACTTCGGCTGGGGATCACGGAAACGCAGCTTCCAGTCGGTAGCCTGGTTATTGGGTGTCGACTTGATGACCTCGTGCACGATGGGCGCCCATCCCTCGACGTACTTGAACGCGCCAGTCGAGTCGGCGATACGGTTCCAGTCTTCCACGGCAGCGTCTTCGTCTCTGTGCGTCAGGCCCCAGCAGAACTCGGTCGGCGATAAGCCGGTGAAGAAGTGTGCGCCGGGACCAATGTGGAGGGACGTCCACTCCCGCTTATCCTTGAAGAACTCTGCAATAGCAGGTACTTTGAGCGCCTCTTCGGCTCGGTAGCTAGCTCTGTACAGGGCAAAGCCGGAGCTGATGGGCTTCTCCTTGGTGCCGGTCACGATGCCCCAGGACTTGGATCCTACGCCGTCTGCTGCCACGACGATGTCGGCGGTAAGTTTGCTCCCGTCGGTGAGGACCACGCCGCCGAGCTCCTTGGTCTCGAAGAAATCCTCAACCTCTTTGCCTGTTTCGATGGGGATGCCAAGTTCGGTGGCGTAAGTCAGGAGGAGGAGATAAAACTCGCGTCGGCTGACGGAGATCGTGGGGAGATGGGGGTTTCCGAGCCTGGTTCCGAACAACTTCTCGCCACTGAATTTGAAGAATTGGAACTCGGCCGAGATGGCGCTCTTGTTTAGCCTCTCCATGAACCCGGGCCATTTCGAGGGCGTGTGCAGTCCGGGAGACTGGATGAAGAAGATTTCACCTGCGAATCAAAGTAGGTTTCTGGTCAGAATATTGTCTCTGGAAAGTGAGCGAATAGGTAATGCTTACCATAGTCTCCCGGGTCTATGCGCTTCTCCAGAACCTTGACGCTATGTCCTTGGCGATGAGACTCGATGGCGAAAGCCAGACCAGCAATTCCGGCGCCGACAACCAAAATCGAGATGCCTGTATCAGAAAGACGTTCCATGATGTTAGGAAATGCTCTTTTTGTCGGATGAACCAGGTTAGAACTTTCGCGGCCAATAGGTGCTATGCATATAACTTCAATCGAGTTGAAAGAACCAGAGAACTGTGCGTTGATGCAGAGATGAAGGAGCAGTCTCTGTTCATGCTAAAAGTAGTTCATCTTGAGGTGATTGAATCATCACCCTGTCTTAGCAGAACGGCGGTCGAAAAGTCCGCGCCTTGAGACATGAAGTTTCGGACATTAACGAAATTTCAATTAGACCGAATGTCGATGCTGAAGAATAGGAGGGAATAGATTTAACCTAGCCCCTCGATAAGATCGTGTTACATCTAACCCCACGTAGTCTGAATTGTGCCGCGTCTGTAGAGCTAGAAGTAAGGCTACTTACTCGCTACTGGCCCAATCAGCTGTAGTGTGCGAGCAATTGGATTAGAGATAAAGTCGGTATTCGGGGCTGTTGTCCTTCCGTGACCCGTTCAAAACTCTCCGTAGTTTTCGTATGGATTGCCGACTAGCCTTTTGATTTCGTAGTAGACGTATGCTCGCGTTTCGTCGTTATAGAGGGCCGCTGAGTCAGCTCGCGATTCACCGGCGGTAGATTGTACGACTCCTAGTCGTTACACTAGACGAACACCTAATGCTTAGGGGTCAGGCTCCAGGAGCGGATATCGGCAGGGGCGTCATACAGAAGCCCTAAACTTAGAATTAATTCGCTCGGTCGTTTTGTCAAATTAGGAAAGCTAACCCATCCAAATGGTGCGCCCTCGGGGTTTACCACCTCAGTCAGGTAAGAATGTGCGTATATCGTCTTCTCCACGAAACGATACGCGCCTTCTTAGAATCATAGTAGCCCCTTAGTGTTGACGTTGAAAAATATGTTATTTCATTAAACGCATCAGCGCGTGAGGATAAATGGATGACGAAGATCGGTGCTACTCGAGGACCGATGTCCGGGAATGACTCTGTCTCTCCTCAACAGCTTGAGCCACCTTCCGATAGGTATCCCCGTAGAGCCGGTTTTTGATCTTCAATCGCTTTAAACTGCCCATTTACTATGACTCGCGGACATGAGCGGAGTTGCGTCCTTGATGGGTGCGATTTCCAGCTCTTACAACCTCTATTGTCTGCTGCCCGACAGCCCGGTTGGCGGTCGTTCATCTCGATTGTATTCCTCTCAGCATCTCCCCCAAAGTTTTGTTATAGGGCATACCCATGTAAACCCCTAGTCGGCTCCCAAAGCACATTGAGACCTTCTTAGAAGTAGAACGCTTCTCGGTCATCATGCAACGCTATACCGGAATAGCTCGAGGGTGACGGAAAACCTCGAGTTGCTGATTGATTCCATGATCTTCACGGGCAAATGACCTTCAACACCTTGCCTAATTCACCCCTTTGGGCTTTGGGTACCGCTGTTGAACAGAAAGTCGTCTAAAATCGTCAATAAAATATCCGTCAGCCAAGGCAGTTGCGTGGGTTGAGGAAGTAACCCAAATTGGATTTCTCTCAAAACCTACATGCAGACTGAGGCGAAGGCTTTTAATTTTCTTTGCGGAAGAGAGTAAATTCCTGTCTATATCTCTCGCTTACCCAAATTTGCGGCACTGGTGGTCCTGAACCATATGCTGCTCGGTGGCGTAGTAATATTGGAAGCCCCTTGCCCGGTCACCTGATCGACTGAAGAGTCCTTTATTGGCAGAAAATTGACATGTTGGCTGCGAGCATATGCAGGCTGTACTTGTCCGACCTGAACCCGGGCTGAGAAGCGTTGGGTTTGATGTACATAAACCAAGCTTCCCATGCGGGGAACATATCACATCGTAATTAACGGATTCAAACACGCCGAAAGGACCCTAGGTTCGCTCCAGCTAGAATCTCAGAACATGGGACTCAAAGATCTCAACTGCGTGTTGGCACTGCTCATCAGTCTGGGAGGTCGTGAGAACACAGTTGACGTAAGCGGCCTTCTTCTGGGGGGTGGTAAGTCATAAGACTCCGAATCTACCAGTATGCGATCCTAATTGGTTCATTACAGGCTTTTCTTGGTTTTCTGGCGAAGTTGGTTTCGCTGCAGATAATGTGGCCGAGTATGAGGTAGAACCAAATATTTTACCCCTGCTTTGGGCAGTACGCGTAGTGGACGCTTACCAAATGTTTTTCAGGTCGTTTTAGCCAGCGGCAATGTTATCAGAGCTAGTCAACACGTGAACTCTGACTTGTTCAAAGCTCTCAAGGGCGGAGCGTGTAATTTTGGCCTGGTCGCCAAATTCGTGCTCAAAACCTTTCCCTCTCGCAACCTCTATGGCGGGGTCATGGTATTCCCTTGGGCACAGAAGAATGCCATCGTGCAGAAGTTTGTGGAGATGATTGACGGCAGATGATTGACGGCAACACCAACGGACACCCCGAAGATACTGGGTTCGCAGCTGCTGCGTGGAGTCTAAGTGGTGGGAAGAGAATGTCTTTCGTTGTCGCTAACATTGAGGGGCAATCCAACTCAACGGCTTTCGCGGGACTTGTAATTCTGTCTCCCGTGGTCGACGTGCGGGCAAACCTCCCAGTGACCAGCATTGCTGCCCAAATCACGCCGCCGAGTGGCGAGTACCAGGTTTGGAGCACTCTGGCTTTTCACAACACACTTGGCATGGGCCGCAAGATTCTAGCATCATTCGACGCCGTTATTGAAGATATTCAGGACAAGGTCCAGGATGGCGACGACTTCAGAATCGTCTACCTCCTAAGGCCGTTTCCGACCCTGTTCTCAAACTACGGCGACAATGTTCTTGGTCTTGACGAAATCCACAAGAAGAACTCTATTTTTCTCAGCATCCAAGGAATTTTCCCTAACATGAAATATGTTGGGCTATTGAGACAGAGGCTGAAAGAAGCGACTGCAGACATCGAGGCTTATGCTAGAGCTACTGGCCAACTGATCCCCTACCTATATCTCCACTACGCGGGTCAAGATCAGAGACCATTGGCGACGTATGGTGAAGACAACATTCGGTTCCTGAAAAGAGTTGCGGAGAAGTACGATCCCGGACAGTTCTTTCAGTACAGCGTGCCGGGAGGATTTAAGATTAAGGATGTATGAGGGCTTACGGCATCGGGACTATCACAACCTGCCGTATGATTTAAGAAAGTAGTATTGTGATGTGGGCACATGAATTTGGCGAAAAGATCTCGTTTGAGGGCTTTCAGAAGTTTTATTGTCATCAGTTGCCAGTTACCGGATGGATTTAGGCGTTGATTTAGTGATTGGTGTCGCTCTACAGCTGGGCACTTGCATTCGGGCCCGTCAACTGACCTTGTCGGTCAAAGAAGAGCTTCTGACCAGTCCTCAAGCTTTCCTGTAGGCCTGAGGCGATCCTCAGTGACGTAAGAGCCGATCTGAGTGGGATTGGCAGTGGCTTGTCGTCCAAAATAGCATCAACGAACGCATTCGCTTCCACAACGAATGCCGAGATGAATCTATCGTACCAAGAGTTCGTCGGTTCAATCTTGACATAGCCATCAGTATCGCAAATCTCTACTCGATTCTTTCGCGGCACAGCATTGACTGTCAATTTGCCTGTCGTACCGAATATCTCAGTGACGCTGTCATAACCGTGCGATGAGCTTCTCGAGTGGTAGAAGTGAGCCATCTTTCCGTCCCAGAACTCGCACACCCCGATCGCGTTGTCCGCATCGCCAGTCTTTTCAAGATCTGGGAAGAAGGAGGTTGTTCCAATGGCAGAGACAGATTTGGGGACGGAATCCTCGCCCAAGAACATCAGTGACAGGTCAATTTCGTGAATGGCGCAGTCAAAGTAGATGCCACCAGAGTCCCTGAGGTACTGATGAAAGAACGGACTCTGGTCAAGCTTCTCACAGCCATGAGACCTGAAAACGAACGGCTTGCCAATGGCACCTGATTTGACTTTGTCGTGCGCATCCTGGTAGCTGTCGTCAAAACGGCGGGCGAACGCGACCATGGCTTTCGTCTCTGGCTTTGCTTCCACATGTTCGCAGAGGGTCTCAAGCTAGGTGAGAAAGCGTTAGCACAAATGGAGAAGGAGATAACAATGACAACGTCAGGTACCTCTGAGATAGACTTGCAGATAGGTTTCTCGCATAGAACATGAATCCCCTTATTGAACGCAGACAGTGTCTGTGAGAAATGTAGCTCGGTAATAGAGGAGATGATGACAGCCTCAAGCCCTGGCGTCTCCATCATCTCTTCGAATGTGGGATAAGTCTTGACACCATGCGGCTGAAGATGCTGTTCGGCCCAGTCGAGATCAGCTTGAGCAGGAGAGCAGGCGCATAGAAGTCTGGCTCGCGGGACTAGGTTCAGAATATTGAGGGCATGCTTCTGCCCCATACGTCCGATGCCAACAACACCCACATTGAGGATCTTGGGTGACGAGGTCATGTTGTCAAATTCTTCGAGATACAATAGAGTGATCTGAATTTAATTTCATGAACAAAATTTTGGGGATGTCGCTGTGAATAGACGGATTAGCTCGCTTGTGGTCGTAATGATCGTGTTGTGACTTTTGCTGGCGATGTTACGAGAGGTTATACTTGTGAATATGGAGAGCGGAAGATTATTACTGCTTCTAGCGAATGAGGGCAACCCCGGCGATTTTACACCGTATTGGTAATATGACGCTCAATAATGGCTGACGCGACGTCACAGGTGAATCCCGAACACCGATGTCATCGAGCGTTCACAGTGAGAACGTGTGTATAAAAGGTGGAAGAATGTCCTCGGGCTTGCAATTCCGTTTGGAACTTTGGATACAGCGGCTCGCGATCGAGTGTTGTCCCTGTACGCCTCTTCTCATACCCACTACCACCCAATACAGCCATACAAGTTTCCAGTTCAGCTAAACACACTTTAAAAATGTCGGAATTAACAGCGATTCGCTGGGGCATTGTTGGTAAAGCATTCCCCGCATGCTGAATTCGGGGAAAAGCACACTACTGACTGACTAGTACAGCTACCGGGATGATCTCCTCCTGGTTCGTCGAAGACCTCTTGGTCTCACGATCAGATGCAAAAGTCAAGCACATTGTCCAAGCGATTGGGAGTTCATCCGTCCAGAAAGGGCAAGACTTCTCGAAGCAATATTGCCCGAATAGTCAACCGGCTATTTATGGATCGTACGGGGAAGTTTATGCCGACCCCAATGTGGATATCGTCTACATTGGCACCCCGCACGCTTTCCACAAGCAAAACTGCCTGGATGCCATCGAAGCAGGCAAACCCATTCTTTGCGAGAAGGCTTTCACGATAAACACTCGTGAGGCAAAGGAGGTCTTTGCGCGTGCCAAGGCAAAGGGAGTCTACGTTGCTGAAGCCATGTGGCTCCGCCACCGACCTCTGGTCCAAGATCTGCAACGCATGCTTCACAAAGACAAGGTCATTGGCGAAGTTTTCCGCGTCTACTCTGAGTTCGGTCTCGGGCTAGACATCCCGAACCTCCCAGACAGCTCGCGTTATAAGCAACCTCACCTTGGTGCAGGGTCGCTATTGGATTTGGGGATCTACACTCTGACGTGGGCTATCCTAGGCTTGGACGCAGGAACTCCTGGTTCTTCTGAGAAGCCCAAGATCCTAGCTTCACAGTCGCACGATGGTTCTGTCGAGGTGACTACCAGTGTCATCCTCCACTATCCCTCTACGGGTAGACAGGGTGTTGTCACTTCAACGACAATGGCAACTGGAAACCCAGATGTGTTGGCACGCATTCAAGGAACCAAAGGCACGATTGAGGTACATGGCACCGTCCCATCTGACCCAGACTCTTTCACTTTGTACTCCACATTTGAGAGAGACCAGGTGAAGGGCATCATCGGAAGGAACGCAATCAAGACATTTGAATACAAGCCAGTCGGACGAGGGTATTACTGGGAAGCCGACAACGCTGCGTTGGATGTGCTGGCCGGGAAGTTGGAGAGTGACGTGATGCCTTGGGCAGAGACTATCCGTGTCATGGAGATGATGGACGAAATCCGACGACAGGGTGGGACTGTGTATCCTCAAGACGAGGAGTGAGGGGTATTTTCTTAAACTCAACCGTAGAATAGATAGCAAGCAACAAAGATTTGTATTTGAGGATAGCTGGACTATCCCAACTATTGCCCAGCAAGCAGTACTAAGCTTTTTGCTGACGTGGAAGCATTGTGATTCGAGGGGAATGGAGTCTGGTAGTTACTAAGTACGCACCTGGCGTACTCAGGATATACAATACCCCACTGACGCTTACATATGTGTTCAATGTCCTGGTAGTCTCTTACTCTTTTATTCGTTGTCTCTTCAATGCTCATTCTGTGAGGCTAGCTGGGCCTATATCCTCATTTTCGGCAGATCGCCTGAAGGAGCATTTGCAACTAGAAGAGTGTTATACTTGGTCTCTTCTCTCAACTAAGAACACAGACAACTAGATTGTGTGTTTCCCTACCTATCTCATGAGGCACTTGGACTTTGTGTAAGGATAAGAATTGATTTTTTATCGAGATCGCCGATGAAGGCTCTGTTTTCAGGCTCACCCGAGGTTGTCAATAACTAAACCACTTCCTTGATGAGTTAATGACCTAAGCGTCGATTAAGGAAGAATTGTATTCATTCGAGTTAATCATACTGCACGGTTTGTCTGATCGCCAGGAGCTTTTCTTGTCCTGAACTTTAACTAAGTAATCGTACCAGAAATGAAATTGCGCGATGCTTCAAGAAATCAACAAGCGTTTGCCAAGACACTCTTGAATGCAACTTGGAATCGAATCTTGGCTCACTTGAACAACAGATAGGGCTATGTTCACTCATGCATCTTGTTGTTTGTGTGAAGGTGATCCACTTGTATCAATTAGTAACTTGCGCGCGGGTGTGGTGTTCGTTATCGGCGCGGGCCGGGATTGCCAATCTGTTCCTTGGATGGCGCAATACATCAAGATGACCTGATGAACTCCAACCATTGGGCGATGCATACCTTGACTCCGGACCATAAAATGCCGCGCAATCCATATCGCTATCTCAGAGCTTCCGATGGAAGATTGCCAAGTCATCTAGTAACGAAATCATTCATCAACACAACCGATCGGCTCCTTTGTCAACATACGCTCCCACCAATTCATTATCACGATGGCTGTCAAGAATCATAGCGGGCCAAGTCCTCTGAAAGTTGCCATCATTGGTGGCGGGCCCGGAGGGTTGGGTGCCGCGATTGAGTTCGGAAAGTTGAACTATGTTGACTGGTCTCTTTACGAAAAGAAGACGCAAATCAGTGAAACTGGCGGCGGTATTAGCCTACAAAGACATACCTGGAGGCTCTTGGAGTTGAACGGGGCAGCCAGAAACATTGATCCTTTGGATTTCTTCAGATCTCCTGATGGAACCAGCGGACAGTCAAGGTAGGCGACATTTTGTGTTGTAAATAGGGAAGATCATGAGACTTACTAATACCGACTCTCCCCCACAGGAACGGAAGAACCGGAAAGCTTCTGGAACAACACCACCATCCCAAAGATACTCCGCCGCAGCAAGTAAGCTGCCGCATGGTTCGAGCTAAATTGCAGGCTGCTTTGCTCAAAGAAGTTGACCAAAGTCGTATCAAAACTTCTAAAAAGCTCGTTGATATCACGAAGTTGTCGACTGGTAGAATTGCAATCCGTTTTGAAGATGGCTTCAGCGATGAAATTGACCTACTAGTTGGAGCAGATGGCATTCGTTCGGTAAGGCTCAATCCCGTCACGATACCACTGAAGAGACAACAGAAACTAATAACACGAAGTTTGTGAGATCCTACGCTTTTCCTGAGCACAAGATTAAGTACAATGGCCAATCTGCCTATCGGACCATCATTCACAAGCCTACAGCCGAGAAGATCGAGGGTATCCCAAAGTCTCCCGTTTTCTGGCAGAACACTGGTGGAAAGTACGTGTTTACGTGTCCTCTTGGCGGAGATGACTTCGAGGTCACTGCACGCATCCGCCGGCCGATTGAAGGTCAGGAACACGTGAGCTGGGGTCGACCTTTTGACTTTTCCACCATCGCCTCAGAGTACGACGAATTTTGCGAGCCTGTCCGCAAAGTCATCCAACTTGCTGCTCAGGGCGAGACACAGGAATTTGCACTTTTCTCGGGGCCGCGACTGGAAAGCGTCGTCCACGAGGAGGCTATTGCCTTGATTGGAGACGCATCTCACCCTCTATCGGGTGCCTTTGGCGCTGGAGCCGGATTTGCTTTGGAGGATGTCTATGCCTTGACGCAAAGCGTTGACTGGCACTGGAACAACGGTGGGGACTTGTCTGCAGCTCTAGAGTTGTATGATCAGATCAGGTCACCCCATTATCGCGACTTGTACAAGGTGCTTGATGATTTTGGTGCGATGAATACTACACTGCTTTCGGAGAATCTTCCTGTCAATGAGGAGATTGAAGAGCGAGTGCGAAGGGCAGCTGAGAGTAAGAGTACTTGGATGTACCATTACGAGATAGATAAAGCTGTCGAAAAGTTGCTTGGGGCTGCCAATCAGCACGGACAAGTCGCAGCTGTGCTATGAGGTAGATTTATAATCCACTGCTAGACATCTGGTCGCAGCAATCTTCCCATCAGGACCAAGCCCATCAGGACCAAGCCCATCAGGACCAAGCCCATAAGAAGGCCGGCCACAGAGGTACCGAAACCTGGAGGGCGTACGGAACGAGGCGAATGGGGCTTTTGGTAACTGAGGAACGCGCCATAGGATTTCCGAATCCAAATTCCATCACTTGCCTACCTCAAGCGCCATCTTGATGTAAGACCACTCGGCACTTGACAGGCCGGAATATCTATGACCGAATACCAGTTGCCGAGCCTGGATGTCGGGGCGGGGCCGGCAAGAGCGGCAGGATCGGCCTCCACTCATCAGGGACTGCGGAGAGATCACCGGCAATGGTCCTTGACGAATTATGACTTAGGGTGTTTGCTGTTATCGACCAGTCGAATAGCAACTTGACTTGACAATCATACCGGCCAAAACTTCTAAAGCAGACATCAAATACATCAGACCACGCTGCTTTTGTAGTCTGCACGTTGTCAACGGAATCTGCTATCGGGATGATTCGAGAGCAAAAGAATTTCTATACAGAGCTTCGGATTCATCCTTCCCGCAAAGTAAGGTGTCCAAGCTAGCCAAGCGCTAATCTTATTGTTGTTACATCACAGTCAAAGCCCTGGCTGATCCTTGTATCACCGGGGTCGTGTAAGCTACATGTGGACTAGAGAGGTCCGGGGGCGATCTTTACCACTACATGTATGCGGGGTAACAGTCTGTTTGGTTTCCCTGTCTGCCGTGTCTCCCCAACCAGAAAACATAAGATGAGATCGGGAGCCCATTGATGGCTCCGGGACAGATACCCAGCCTGTCGGGATTCGCTTTGTTAAAGATGTTCGCGGCCGTTTCTCTAGTCATTGCCGTTTTGCTGGCGTTGGCTACGCCTTCGGAAGCGACTTTTCAGAGTGACTGCCTGGCTCTTACTCCTCAGACTACAGTGGTCAACTCGACTGCTCAGGAGATCAGTCATGTGGAGACCGGCACCAACCTCACTTTTCCAGAACAAGATCCATCATGCGGTCGCGGAAGCCAGGTGGTCCGCACTAATCTTTGTCGTGTCGCCATGAATATTACAACTTCTAGTAGATCACAGATTGTCGCTGAAGTGTGGCTACCCGAGAAATGGAATGGGCGCATGGTAACGGTCGCTGGTGGAGGGCTCGATGGGTGTAAGTAGTTGAGTCTGGGACACTGACATGGAGTGGTGGCGTTTAAATCGAGCACGTGCTAACAATGAGAAATGCGATAGGCGTTCACACTGAGGACCTTGCGTATGCTACTGCTCATGGCTTTGCTGCTGTTGGCACGAATAACGGGCATGCTGGAACGACCGGTGCACAGTTCCTCAACAATGATGATGTTGTCATTGACTTTTCGTACAGAGCGTGAGTTATCCCAGCTTCGACTTCCCAATCTACAAATCGACTGACATGCCCACCAGGATTCACACGGGCGTTCTCGCTGGGAAGAGTCTTCTCAAGTCTCTCTACAAGGAGAAAATCACGGGGTCATACTTCTTAGGTTGTTCTCTTGGAGGACGGCAAGGCGTACAAGCCGCGGACATGTTTCCCGAAGACTTCGATGGTATCGTCGCAGGTGCACCGGCAGTGGACTTCAACAACCTCTACTCCTGGCGAGCCAGCTTCTACCCTCTGACTGGTTCTGTTGACTCCAAGGATTTCATTGCTCCCGCCACCTGGAAGACGACAATCCATGATGAAGTGCTTAAGCAGTGCGACACTATCGATGGTGTTCAAGACGGCATCATAGAGGACCCCACCCTCTGTCACTTCGAACCTGGAACTCTCCTGTGCAAGTCAGACAGCGGCGACTCCAAATGCCTCACTGGCGCACAAGTCGAGATCGTGAGAAAGATCTTCAGCCCAACCAACTACACGGACGGCAAGCTTTTCTGGCCAGCCATGAATCCCGGCAGCGAAATCATCACCGCAGACGGGCTGTACAGTGGAAGCCCATTTGCTCTATCCCAGAATTGGTTCCGCTATGCGATTTACAATGACCCGAATTGGGACCCGGCTACTTACACACTCGAAAAGGACGGCATCTTTGCTCAAAAGCGGAACCCCGGCAACATCAAGACGTACCCACGGGACTTGTCGGCATTCAAGAGGAGGGGAGGAAAGTTGTTGATGTACCACGGCCAACAGGATCAGCAGATTACGAGCTTTCACACTCCCATTTTCTATGACCGCTTGGCAAAAGGCATGCATCTGAACCACACTGGAATGGATCACTTCACACGGTTCTTCCGTGTTTCGGGCCTGTACCATTGCACGACAGGACCCGGTGCCTGGTTGATTGGCCAAGGAAGCAGCGGTGGAAACTCGGCCGTCATCAGCGATAGTCTCCCATTCAATAGGACATACAATGTCCTGGCCGCCATAGTAGACTGGGCTGAGAGTGGAATCGCCCCGGACACCATAACAGGAACCAAGTTTGTCAATGACAGTGTTGGTTCGGGTGTGGACTTCCAACGGCGACATTGCAGATACCCGTTGCGAAATACCTACCGGGGTGAGGGTATGGATCCAAAACTCCCGGATAGCTGGAAATGTGTGTAGTTGAAAATCTAGCTGCGTGCAGACTCAGGAGTGAGAGAATGACATCGTATCAGCTCTTATGGACTCGATGAGGGACCAGGGCCAAAAGTTCACATGTAATAACGGTGCAACTGTCTCAGGTTGACCCTATATGTATTTGTTCCATGCCAACCAGGAGTTCCAGTAATAAGTCACATAGTAAGCTGAACAATTATAGAAGTTGATCCGAATAGGTAGATTCCATCTTGGTTCAGCCAGACGTGCACATGTCACAAAAGCCGATCCGGTCAACGTCCCGCTTGACCGGGCCGGGAATCGATCCCTTGTCAGGATCAAAGAAGCATCCAATCCAGTAAGCCAAATCCGGCCAAAACAATGGGCTTATGGAGACTTCATTAGTCAATAATTCGCCAACTAAGGCGAATTTGGGCGTAATTTGTACGCAACGCACGGACTTCCGCAACAAATTTTCATTATCTTACTTTACTTATCGGCATCGAGTCATCCTCAGTCGAAACATTTACATGACTGTTTGGTGCACCCTCTGTTTGCCTCAGCCCGACATTGAGTTGTAGCTTTGCAACCTCCGGCAAAGACATCAAAATGGCAGACAACTTGGAGAGCCAGCGTGACCGGCGCGGCGATGAAAAGCACGCAACGACAGAGAATCTTGGTGCAGATGCACAAGCAGCTTCGGCTACAGGCCGGAGCAGCAAAGGTCTGGTGCGGAGAGTGTTGATGGCTGGGCGGGTCGAAGAAGGCGGCATCGAGCCTATCCCAAGAGAAGTCCGGACGAACACCAAGTACTTCAATGCTTTCACGATATGGTGCTCTATCAACACGAACATTTTGGCGTAAGTTTTCTGGCTCTTCAAGTTTCATATGGTCCTCGTGCACACAGGCTGACGTTTGCCACTCAGTATCACGTTCGGCATGCTGGGCCCGGTCTCTTTCGGCCTTGGCCTCCGAGATTCGGCGCTCGTCATTCTCTTCTTCAATTTGCTGTCAACGCTGGCACCAGCATTCTTGTCGACGTTGGGCCCGAAGACTGGCATGCGACAGATGATTCAAGCTCGGTTTAGTTTTGGGTAAGTTGATATTCCCCCGGTCGAAAGGGCGGATCTACCTCATGATCTTGAGTTGCCCGTGGCCAACTCAAGCGTCTCAACTGACGCATTCCTAGATACTACTTCGTATACATCCCTGTCGTGCTCAACCTTGCTACTCTCACCGGCTTCTGCGTCATCATTTGTGTCGTTGGTGGGCAGTGCCTTTCAGCAGTGTCCGAAGGCGACCTTTCGACTTCCGTTGGCATCGTCTTGATCGGCATCGCGGCTCTGCTGATCTCTTTCTGTGGCTTCAACGTGCTGCACTTCTATGAGGGGTACGCATGGATGCCAGCTCTCGTAGCCATTATCATCGCGGTTGGATGTGGCGGACAGCAGTTGCAAAAGCAAGCCCCCTTTGAGCCGGCAACGGCTGCGGGAGTCCTTAGCTTCGGTGGTGTCATCGCTTCGTACATGATCCCATGGGCCTGCATCGCATCTGATCTGACAACATACTTTGACCCTACTGGCCGGACGGTCTCGTAAGTAAATGTGCTCACAGAGATGATCTCAAGACTGACTTTTCATCAGACACCGCATCTTTGCCTACAGCTACTTGGGGTTGGTTGTGCCCACGATACTGCTTATGACTCTCGGCGCGGCTATCGGTGGTGCTATGAGCAACATCCCCGAGTGGCAAATCGGCTTCGATAGCACCTTGGTCGGCGGCGTTCTCGGAGCCATGCTCTCCCCAGCCGGCGGATTCGGCAAATTCATTCTTGTCGTCCTTGCATTCACGCTGTTGGCAAACATTTCCGGCACCATGTACGCAATTACGCTGAACTTCCAGACCCTCATCCCGTCGTTCCGCCTGCCGCGGTACATTTTCTCCGTTATCGTGACCGCCATTATCATTCCGATCGCGGTCAAGGCAGCACACGACTTCTTTTTGAGTCTCGAGAACTTCATTGCCCTCATCGGCTACTGGTCTGCGTCCTTCGTCGGAATCGTGGTCACCGAGCACTTTGTCTTTAGGCGCGGTGACTCCAAGCTCTATGAGGTTGCGGTGTGGGACGTGCCCTCCAAGCTGCCCCTGGGTATTGCTGCTATCGGCGCAGCTGTGTTGAGCTTTGGTCTCGTCGTTCCTTGTATTGCCCAGGTCTGGTTTACGGGTCCCATCGCGGTCTCGACAGGAGACATTGGCTTCGAGATTGCGTTCTTCTTGAGCGCTGTCTTGTATGTGCCTCTGCGTTACGCCGAGAAGCACTACGCGGGACGGTAATGGGTTGTGATGGTTATGAAAGACAGTATAGAAATGATTTTCACTAGCTCGAGGAGGTGGAGGAGATCTGTGATCAATGCCAATCACGTTCAGGTCACGGCATTCATTTGGCTACTCCGTGTGTGTTGCACCCCTTTCGATGCTCTTCTCCGGCGCCTCATCATCCTGTCATAAACGGTACAAATTTGTACATTGAGAAACAAGCCAATACCGCGATCTTGCATTAGCATAACTTGCCAATCAAGCCTCGCCATCCATCCCCATGAAGAAAAATGCTTCCATAATCTCCCGCGGTACTTCGGATCTCATCAACCGCTCAAGCGGCTAAATGGCAGAAAACACCTCCTTTGACCAAGGACATAATATCCATGAGGATGTCCCTTTCGATGGTTCCACAGCCTTGATGTTGCATGCAGAACCCTTCAGACTAGGGTCAGGTTCAGTTTGCGACAACCAACAAGAGACAGGGAATAGTCAAGGACCCCTCACTCGAACGACTCCACCAGGTACTGGAGCTTACGGATCGTCTCACTGCAGGGTTTCGTTGCAGCTCTTCCCCGAAGATGCTGTTCAATGAGAATTATCCACCTGGCGGCACAGGCGCCGACTTGGGAAACCCCTTTGATCATCTTGTTGACAGTCCTAGGTGCCGGCAGCTCGCCGTAAGCTGGCGTACATAATGAAGGGGAAGTACTGCTTTCGTATCTTTTCAAACCGCAACGCTCCCAGTTCTCTTCTAGATTTACTTGGCTACATCCCTTGAAGCAATCTTCAATCTCCCTCCTCCCTCCTCACCTCCTCACGATGGCTGGTATCGCACCTGAAAAGACCTTCACCCCTGGGTTGGACTTCAGCAACCAGTCTTACAGCAAGCTCAGCGAAAAGGTTGAGGCCGACGTCAGCCGTGCTCATGAGATCATCAAGGAAAAGCTTCCGCTGCTCGCCCAACTGAACGCACTCGTCTCCTTGACATTCGGAGATCGTGCCCCAATCTTTGTGGATGCTCGTTCATCTGAGGCGAGATTCCTCGACTCTTGCTCCGATAAGCCAGATACAAAAGTCACAATCAAGCCTGAGTACATCTCTCAGTTCTACGAGGGCAAGCTCGAGCCTCGATATGGCCTGTTTAAGGACGCCTTCTTCCACGAGGCTTCAATGCCGCAGGGCAATGTCCCCGTGGCCATCAAGTTCGCCGACCTCCTCACTCCCAACCCTCCCGTACCGCCCAAGAAGGTCGTTCCTGGAGCCTTTGCCCGTCTTCCTCGGCCAACAGAGGATATCGACCAATTCAAGCGGGATATCAAAGAGTTTGGCTACGGTCTCGTCAAGAACGCTCTGACTCCTGAGCAAGTTTCTATCTTGAGGAAGGGAACCCAGGAACAAGCTGCTGGCGAGCGCAAGGCTGGCGTTTCCGCCGCGGACGGTGGCCCAAACGCCCCCAACCAGCGCATCTGGACTCTGATCAACAAGGGAGAGGAGTTCCTCGATCTTCTGAACCACCCTCTCATCGATGAGATTGTTCCCTGGTTCCTCGGCGAGCATGCTCTTATCCATAGTTACAGCGCCAACATTGCCCGCCCCGGAAACGTTCCCATGCAACTTCACACAGATCAAGTTGCCATTCAACCGCCTGTGCGTGAGCTCGCTTTCGGCCTCAACATCATGTGGTATCTCGAGGACATTACGGAGAAGAACGGCGGCACCCGCGTGTTCCCTGCGTCTCACCTTGGTCAAATTGCCCCTGATGACCTGTTCACTGTCGATGGCACTGTCGCCGCCGAAGGGCCTTCTGGCACTGCCTTGGTGTTTGACAGTCGGCTGTGGCATGCTACTGGCCCCAACCGTGAGGAGTCTGGCGAGCGTCCGGTCATTCTGATCTTCTTCATGCGGTCCTTCATTCGCCAGCAGGAAAACAACTTCCTGTCACTGCGCAAGGATGTCGAGGCTAAGTTGTCTGACCGCCACAAGCGTCTACTTGGGTTCTACACTACGGGTGCTCTTGGTGGGATTGAGGGCGAAGTCCGGGAGGGTATCTTTGTGACAAGGAAGGATGATTGCGTTGGAACATTACGCGCCGCTCACGAGTGAGCACTTGCGCGCCTTGATAGCGACCTCAACACCTGTATCTTAGCTTGTCTGTAGAATCTGATGAAGATCATCCAAGTGCCCATGTCAACTAATGACCTATCCCTTCGTGTCGCTAAACGATCACTCCGTCCAGTCTCTCATCTGTGTGATCGAATTCGCCCACCTGCCTGGCCATTTGACCAGCATCTATGGAGGCGGTATTTCACCCAGCCTCAACATTTACCCTGGTTATCCTATTCTTGAACCCGTTGTTGGAGTCTCGAAGAGCAAACATGAACCCTGCCGTAGCCCCACGTCTTCATCAGAGAGAAGCCGCCGTTGTGTCGTCCTTGTGCACTGTGGAACTTTTCTGCTCATCCCGAAAGCCCCCTGGACGGCACGGTCTCCACTATCTCCGTTGGTTTACTCTTGTATGTCTCTTGCTGCCTCACGAGCTTCCAACAGAAAATCGTCCATTTGACACGTAATAGCCGAGTTTCAAGGCCTTTCCATCGATGATGCAACCTAGTCCTGGGGCCCTAGTAGAGAACATTGCAGCCGGCAGGGTTCTTGTTTGCCAGATTGTCACTGTTGGTAATGGGAATCCAACTCCGGTTGGAACGATA